GTACACATCAACTTGTCCAAAGAGCAGTTTTATTTAAAAAGAAATATTAAAGAATTTTTGCAAGCACTATGCTTTTGGTCAAGGGTTTTGCTGCACAGGTAAACTCATTAAGTTTAGATCGTGAAAGCACTGTTGATTCACTCTTGCTTTTTCATCCTTTCATCATGCTGTGGAGTGTTTTGCAATTTATTTTCTTTTCCAGAATGTACCCTTATCAAATCTGAGCCTTAAGAGCAAAGATGCTATTTTTTTTTTTTAAGATTATATCGGTCAGTATTTTATTTGAGGATTTTTGCAAGATGGTGCCGGATGTTATTCACAGCTAAGAACAGAAACCGTGTTCTTACAAAGTTTAGGCGTGACAAAAAAAAAAAAAAAACTGTAAAAAAAGAGCAAGAGCACAACTTACACACAGCAAATTGACCCACACCCGTGTAAAGCATGGGGAAGGGAAGAGTAAGTGCCAGACAGGACCCAGATGTCATGCTAAAACAACAACTTCTAAATATAGTGCTACATTCCCAGGCGTCTTTCCCCCTTGCCTCCTCAGAGCAGGCATAGTTTTTATTTATTTTTTGTATTTTTTTATTTTTATTTTGCAACATCTCGGTGTAGTACGACCTCGCCATAAATACACCTCTCCCTTACCACCTTGATACCCTCTTTTATTGGCCCGCTATTTTATTGCTAATGGACAGATGTGCTGTCAAAACTGCGTTTTATGGGCCCTACAAGAGCTTAAGTGTCAGCACTGCATGTTGCCTATTTCTCCAGATGCACAGATTTCTGTTCCATTACTAACCCGTGACAGGTTGATGGCCGGTTAGCACCCCTGTGCATTTCTCTGAGTGGAAACACGATTGTGTGTTGTACCTGTAAACGCTTCAAAACCCCAAATCATTAACATGGACCCACTGTTGCACCAAACTGCTCGTGTCCATCAAACATGCTTTTGCAGAGCTTTTGCAGTCACATGCCTGCTTTTACCGTCCTTAGGTTGGTTGGTTGTTAAAGCACAAGTTTGCTACTTTTTACAACATATACACACAAAGATGACACGTTGTGTTTATTTATCTATTTAAGAGATAGCATTTGATAGCACTTGTTACAAGGCATTTTTTTGTTCTAATGAAATAGGTTAAAAAAAGTGGTATGGCCTGTCTTATTCTTTAAATATTGGGAGCAAATGAGGGTAAAAGGTGTTGGGTTCTGTGAGAAATTAAAATTGCTTCCTCTGTTTGACCATCTGGATTTCAGCGTTTGTAATTATGTGCTGGGTCATTTAGCACTGAGGGTAGAATGTTAATACAGGAAAGGTTCGTGTATGCCCAAGTAAACAAACAAGACCCCTCCTTGTGGAGTCCTCGCCTACTGATTGGCAGAAACCCTCTTGTGGAATTGCTGTGTTAATTAGCCTTGCTTGATATGTCTGTCTCACATGCTCACTCTTCACATCACTGATAAATCTCACGTGTCGCCATTTCTTCAATTTGAAAAGCAGTTACGGGTCTCCATTTTTATGCAAGCTGGGCCTCCTCTGAGGTCTAATCAATACTTTCACTACACCAGAATGTATGCGCGGGGAAAAGTGAAATAAGGACATGTCTAACTGAGCCGTATTAAGCTGAGAAGTCATGCATCCAAAAGAGAAATCTACTCAGGAATCTGTCATTAATGTCACACATCCTCCTGTCTCCTCTTTGCACATTTCCCTGTTGAAGACTCTACCAGCTCCCTTGTGTGATGGCAGTGTCCTTGGCACACACTCTCCTCACATAATGGAGTCATTGTCATTCCAGCCACACACAAGGTGGAAACTTTATCAAGTGGTCTTTCTCTCAACCTTTTCCCTGCGCTACCTTTTTGTGTCTCTTTCAGTTCCTCTCTGTTGCTTTTGCACTACATTTCCATCACTCACTTGTCTTGCCTTTTTATTCTAGTATGCACACATACAAACACACACACGCATGCATGCATGCACACATGCACACATGCACACACCAATGTTTGGACTTTCCTCTGTTTAATTTACTTTCTACCCCAACCCTTCTTGCTCCCCTTTCAAAGGTGATGCATAGACCCCCCGCTGCAAGACAAACACAGACCAGTGCACACTCACTGTTTACACTACCCAGTTGGATGCATATTTGTGAGCCTTTTCTGTCTGCATGATCAAGCAATACCTAAAGTTTTAGCCCAAAGCAAACAGCCCTTTTTAAGATGCAAAGGATACAACAGCAAAGGTATTAGAAGAAGGATACGAACTGGTGGAACTAATAAGCCACAAGCCCGATTTCCCTGCCTCTCCCTACCTTTTTTTTTTTGCTCCTAATTCATCATTCTATCTCTCTCTTTCCTCTCAGCCAATTTATTAAAAGTCAGCTTATCTTTCGAGGTGTTTGATCAAAAGACGATGACTGAAAGGCTACACAAGCTGCGCTCAAAAGTCACAGAGGCTTGTAATCAAACTGGGGGCTGCCATTAAACACTCAGTATCTCAACTGAGCAAACAGATAAATCCTACATCCAGTCTTTTTTCTGCCACTCCACCTGCATGTCAGACTAAAACTATCAAAGCAGACATGTTTGAAAAACTGGATTAAATGTACGTAGCATATCCTACATTCAAAGCCCACCTTTATTGTAACTGGATCTAGCAGGAACACTTTCTACACATAAATAACAGCTTGCTTTATTCACCTGGAATTATATCTATAGTGGATTAATCTGCATCATTTATTTGCCAGTGCAGGAAGTGTCAAAGAGGCAATGGGTGGCTGCCATGTTGCATTTTAATGCTAAGAAGACTAAAGGTTGGATTCTTTTTGTCACCTGTTTTTAAAATAATTTCGGCCAAAGTCTTTCCAGACGCTTTCTCGGGTGCTTTAGTTGCTTAATTCAAGGTACCACACATAGATATTAATAGAAAGGATTTTAAAAACACTGGCACTGGCATTAGAAATGTGTTTACACAGAATGTGTTCCGGGTTTCCACTGAATCAAGCAAAATTGTAGCTCAGGAAAAATAGTTTGTCAGAGGCTTTTAATGTTAATAGTCAGGTGGATTTTCTCATCATAAAAAATGGTCATCAAATTTGGATATATATTGATGTATTAGTTTTAGCAGAAACATAATAGAAAGTTGTAAAACAAAACAAAAAAAAACCAATTTTAGTTGCAAAGCCATAGCTACATCTAAATCATTTTCACAATGTTGTCTTGCTCTCTTTATATTGGAGCAATGTCATCCTAAAAGACACCAGTCAGCATAGAAAAATTTCAAATGCATAATAAAGGTGATCACTCACCTCTAAGTAGACTAGCACTACCTCTTGACCCTTTTACTATGAGTGTCAGGTAATCGGGTTTTTCCTTTAATTTGTCACCAATCACAATATTAATGTGTTCACTGGTCTGAGTTTGTCAAATTGGCAAAATGTAAAATGATGTCTGCTGTTAATCAAAAAGTCAAAGATAAAACTAAATAGTATCTAAATACTAAATAGTATCGTTTGTAGCATCGTTTTTTGCTTTCTAAATTCTGGATATTTCCCACATTGGTATTCCTTCTGTGCTCACTCTTCACTAAGAGCACAGCTCGTTCCTTCTCTTGTTTTCATCGTCTCATTCCAGCATTGAGTCAAAGTTAATAGGCTTTATTGTGCACATTTATGGCGCTGCAGAGCTTGGCATTATAATAAAAAAGATAATGTGTGTTTATGAGCTCCAATCTCACAAATATGTGTGACATGGCCTAATTGGGTGAATATCCTCACAAAATCTCACACCCAAGGGAGAAGAGTGTATTTTCCTCCAGTGCAAGATATGTTGGAAAGCGTGTAGAGCTTCTACAGAAATGGCTGAGGTGGCAGAGAGAAAAATCCAATCCTGCTCGGGCTGAAATGTTAACAAATTTTTCATCCCAGTTCCCAAGGTACTGGTTCACACAATGCTGAAGGAACTTTTAATTACATTCGCAACTCGCAGAAGAATGACTAATGAGAATTTTAGGCTTTGTGGATCGCTGCCATTATTTTGGGGGATTCATCCTTCATGCATTCCAACTAACTGTTACCCAGCAACTCAATCAGCAGTTGAGCTGAGCTTGCTACATGAATCCAGTTCATTTATTAGAATATGTGGGGTGTTTAGGCCCTTTAGGGTATGCTCTGGGTGAAAGGCTAATAGGGCATATGGTAAATTTCTCTATTTATTAATGCCTTCCAAGTCTGCTGTTGGGTACTTAGCACACAGATGTCACGTGGTTCCAGACATTTTTAAATGGGATTGCATAGTGGCTCACAAATTAAATATGGGATATTCATTTCCCTTGGTTTGCTGACATTAGCTTTAACTTAAATTCTTCATATGTAAACTCTGTTTATGATTAAATGTTTCAGTAATTAATTTACTGGTGGTTGGATGTCACCAAGCACACATCTCCAGGATTCATTGTTTTGTTTTACTTAATACATAAACACAAGTGCATTCCCCATGCACTGCACTGTTACCTTGGTAACATTTTTCTTTCGATCTATCACTGCCATATAACCACCTTGCCCCTGTCTGCAGGGCATTTTGGGAGGTTTTTAGCTTGTTTTGACTTTGTCACTCTTCACTAGACAGCGAGGGGAACTGGATTCAGAATGAGAGAAAAGGTGCAACACCCCAAACATAAATAAGCTTTCAGAGCACATTTTCTTTTCTTTTTTTTCCCTTCTTCTTCTGCTGACTTTATGAAGGCACGCAGGAAAATACAACAGAAGTTGCAAATGTGGTTGCAGTATGAATACTAGAGTGTTAATATTGGCAATAACTTTAGTGTAAAAACTTGAGCAGATCTGAAAAGAACTATATTACTATGACGTAAATTTAACACCCAACAGTTCACTAATTCAAAAGCTATAAATTATACTGAGATTTCATCAACAAACCGGAAGCTGATTTTAATTTCTGTTACCATAGAACCACAAGCACTAATGAATGAATCTGCTACTCACACATTGAAGAGGTTGAGGCCGATGCGGTAGAGGCGTTTCCTCATGACGTCTGTGGACAGAGTGGGTGATTTACAGCTAGCGGGGTTCTCACAGTGGTAGCGTGGCAGGCTGAGGATCATAGCCTGCAACGCTTCCTTGGACGACGCCTCGGACGTCGAGCGTGCCTCCGTCGATGTGCTGCTGCTGCTCATCTGCTCTGAGCTATTGTCTGCCGTCTCAGAGCCACATCTCTTAACATCCAAAGGCTCCACCACAGGAGAGCTACCCAGCACTATAGTCTCCTGTGGTGGAGGGGCCACAGTTGGTTCTCTGGGTGGTGGCGGTACCACCACAACAACCTCCTCTGGGCTTTGGGGGAATGCCATCTTATCCAGAGGGGTCAGAGGAGGTTGCTCCATCTCCCCAAGCTCTTCTTCAGAAGGAGGTGGCGCAGGGAATTCAACATCCTGCTCGCTGCCTTCTATCTCTGATTCTGGTGGTGGTGGAGGCTCCTGGGGTGGGGGTGGGAGTTCTTTGGGCTCTGCTAGGATGTCTGCAGGTGGTGGAGGGGGTCCTTGTGAAGGACCGGGTGTGATAGGGGCTGGTGCAGAATTTGCTGTCGTGGAAGTGGTGGTGACAGTGCCGGAGGTTCCTTCTTGTTGGGTGCCACTGTTGAGGGTGACAGAAGTGGATGATTCCCTAACTGAAGATGAAACGCGGAAGTTCTGACTGTCAAACTGCACCGTCACATCTCGAAACGCCATCATCAGCTTGCTTGCATTCCTTGAGAGGTCGGTTGGGTCTACGGAGCCCTGATGAATTACCGAGTCTCGCACGTCCCCACCCCCGCCTTCTCCACCACCTCCAACCCCTGCTGCCGCTGCTGCCGCTGCTGCGCTAAAGGAATCGGCACTGAACTGATAGTTGCCACCTTCTTGGAGTGAACACATGGTCTTCAGACTCCAGTTGCTGAGTGCGTCATCTATAGACTTTGCTAATGACTGGACCTGCTCAGTGAAGGAGTCTTCCAGATCAGTTAGGGTGCCACCAACCGTGGCAGGCAAAGATGGTGAGCGTACCAGTGGGATGCCTGCCAGGTTACAGCCTTCTGCCAGGGCCCGTTCAGCAGAGAAACCCTCCGTATTTTGCACACGGACCTTGCGCAGGGAGATGCGTCGAGGCAGTCGACTCTCCAGAAGTGAATTGCGGATCTTCTCAAAGTTTTTGCTGAGCTGGTACTGGCGGAAGGCAGTCTGGATCTTGCAGGCAGCACGGCGGGAGATGAGGTGTCCGCCGTATTTGTGCTCTAACATTTCGATCTAAAGAAAATGGAAAGAGACATACAGAACGAAAATAAATTGGTGAAACATTTATTTTGCGTCAGTGATAGTAAAAGTGAGGACAGCAATTATTAAGACCAAATATGAGAGTCATAGTTGTATAATAATTTTTAAAACTGCAACGAATACATGCGAATAGGTAAAAGAGTATTATTATAATTCAATGTTTTTTTGTAAGTATACAATGCATATAGGCGTGCATTGGTGGAATACTAATCACATGGAGATTTAAAGAAAAAATAAGTTTATTTAGTTGGAAAAAGAAAAAAACATTGCCTATTTTTAGATACTAAAGATCAGCAAATCTAAATAATATTGTCATGGTTCAGTAAATGTATTTTCCATGCTGGTTTTGTTATGTATCCTGAATCTGTAACCACACTAATAGCTGAGTCATGGCATCCAGCTATTTCTTCAGCAAACAGAGCTCATAATCTACATGAATTCCATAGAGAAGTCTTCCACACAACTTTAAATTGTCTGAAACGGAACAGGCCGTTAATCTTGCCTGTGAAAAATTGCTCAAATGCTGTGGGAAATAGATAGAGATGTAATATAGCCTTCCTCATCTGACAGCAGCTCAAACACTAGATGAAACCTCTTTGAGTTTCCCAGACCCTTCTTGTTGTGGGTATCTTTGGAAGTGCCCAGAAAGAGTGCTTATCTTCCAAAGTCCTTTTCATTTGCACCAAATCAATGAATATAATTCTGTTGCTCATCTGACTTTATCAAGGGCATTAATGTGGAGGAGATTTCAGCTTTGAAAGAACAGCACCACCGTTTTACAAACAGAACTAGCACGATTTTTGTGAAAGTCTCATTCATGGTGAACGTTTGCCTTGCAGGGACTGAAACACCTACAAAAAACATTGAAAGACTCACCCACTTACTCTCATGAGTGAGTGGGTGACTCTTTCAAAAAACAAAACAAAAAAACCCACTCAAGACATTTCTACACATGCACCGCAGCCCTGAACTTTTCTAGACACGAAGCTGCGTGTGAGAACACAAGTGTCTCTGTCACTTCACTAGATCAAAGTCCGTGTGACGTCTGATGGAGTCCACGTCGGCATTGTAGCAGCTAATCGCCTGGTGGATTCACAACAAATACGTCCTGCCTGCTGCACGCTCCATCAAGCTTGTCTAAACAAAACTGAATACTTCCAGGACTGAGAACGTAGCTGAAGTTCGGCTGCATGCCAGAAAGGACAGCTGAGGACGATGTCCTGAAGCGATTCTCCTGACTGGAGGTTATGAGTCAACGGCTGCAGATGGGCTACCTTTCAGTCATGTCTGTGAAGCTGGGACGTCAGTTAAACCAGGACCAATTGAGTATCCGACTGGTGAATGAAAGGGTGAACAAGAAACTCAGGCTTCCTCTTTGCCTCGATTCAACTACAAACGAATCCTACCTTGGTCAAATGATTTAACAGCAATATAATTTTATGCAAAATAAGAAGTGGAAAACTGTTTTCCATAAAAAAGAGTTATAGTCCATCACTAAGAAACACAACGAATACATAAATGTTAAAAATATTCTGCATAAAAATGTACTTTATAAAAAGCAAAGTATTCATCTGAGAGAATTCACATCTTTGCTTTTTCCTCCTTTGATTCTCTTACGGATTTAGAGCTGAACTCTTATATCAGAGTGACGTGTACAAGAGGATAAATTTGGTCCGTACAAAATAACCTTCCTGTCAATTCAAATGCAATTGAGTGAATGGTTAATGCAGCTAAGAAGGATCAAATTGTGACTTTCAGCTGCTAATCTGCTTTCCTTTTAGTCCTGGACAAAGTCACCAAACCATCAGACTTCTGCAAAAGAAAAAAAAACACTGATAGGCTGTAATGGCTGTAGGGTTTGCAATTTTTGATAAGTGGTTAATTCAGCAAGATGCAGCCTCTGTCATTGTCATTGGAGGAACCGAATCACATACAAAGCTCTTTAGAATAGTGGAATGACACTGAAAATCCACCTTATCTACTCCATTTACATTTCACTGCAGAGCCTCTGTGAGCAAAGTGAAACGTACTGAGAATATTAAGGTGGAGTCTGAATAGGATGCTGGTTCACAGCTCTACTGTATCTGCTGATGGCGACTTCTCAGTGACTGTCATCCCTTGCAGACCAGTCGAACTCAGCCTGAATATTCATCGTTTTTTAATCTGGATTGTTCTGTGCTGCATGCACTCTTAATATGACAAGACGTTATCACCATGACTGTGCGGAAACTAAAATAGAGATTGTGAAGTCTTTTTTTTTTTAATATAAGACAGGCGCTGAGGTAATATGATTGACCTCGTTACTCGCAGAGGTGTCCTTCATCAAAACAAATTCTACAGAGTTCCACTGCAGGGGTGCCCTTGAATGCGCAAAAAAGGGCTGTCAGCTTGGCTGCATTTGATTAAATGTAGCAGTCGAGCTTGTTTGTTTTGGCTTCCGCGTAAGCCGGGTCGGGGATGATGAATAAAGCATTTGGGTCACGTTGCTTTCGTTATTAGAGTGCGTATCTGATACACTGTGCCATTCAGATGGAATTACAGCCACCGGGACGAGCTGGAACATGATGGATGGAGGAAGAAAGTGAGGAAAGTAGGCAGGATTTGATGGCAGCTCTAACGAGGATTGTGTTGGAACTTCAAATGCTGTGTACCACTTTCACTGGACAGTCCAGTCAAAGGTGCAAAGTGCATGCTTCCAGAACACAGTGCACAGTGCTTCTGTCTGTGTTACCTGTTTTATTTAATCTCTAAGGACCCATCAGACCCAGTGGAAGATGGACCTTTGCAGATTTAGCAACTCTGTCCTTGACCTTCTATGTTAACACTAGTCCAGCTTGGTTTATGGGTACTGAAGCGTTCTGGTGTGGCTCTGCACATATGTCAGACTGTTACATTCTTCCTCATAAGTTTATTTCTCAGTAGTAATGCGAAGGTAGAGCATAGATGTAGGTGGTACTTGTGTCTTGTTTAACTGCACTGCATAAATATTAAGTTCTTAGAACTATGACTTGAATTCAAAAAGTCTAAAACCTTCAACCTTTTCTTTCTGCCAGTTGGACAAACCATCGTTAATTTGGAGTCAAGTTTCGTGACACAGAGAAAATGTTTTTGATGTGTCTTCCAAAGCCAGCTTGTTGGCTCACTGGTGCAGCATGCAGTGGGTTTTTAACTCACAGCGACTGCCTGCTGTGTCCATTAATGTTACTATAAGACCAGTTACAGTGATGTAAAATGGTTCACTTGTTGACGATTGCACTCGGGAATCTAATAAATTCCAGTTTACTGCTCAGTCAGCAATTGCAGCAAAATATTCAGGAAACTCTGATTTCTTTGTGCGTTAATAAATCCTTAGCTGTCATTTAAAGGGCTGCATGCTAATCCACTCCAAATGTGATGCATGTGGGAAAAGAAAAGGAGACACGTGTATAAAAAAAGAATGGAAGAAAGGTATAGAAAGAGGTGTTGAGACAGATGGCCGTGCCAAGAATGGCATTGTTGAAAATCTTCCCCATTAGCCCTCTGTCACTTCTACCTCTGATCACTTCACTAAGCGCTGATGGAGGGAGAGATTATTCTGGAGACACAGTGGTCTGAGAAAACGGCGATGGCACCGCTCTCTCACACCACGTCTCTAAATCGATTCTGACGGAGAGATCAGCACCATGCTGACCTCATGTTCCCCTCTGAATGAGGCAGACAAAAATGGAGAAAAACTATGCAACACAAAGCGGTGCCACAATGCAGGATATGCAGAATAAAATTAGAGTGTGCAATAACAGATTTTGCTTGAACTTTGAGGTGAACAAAAAGAAGAGAAGGGGTACGTAAATATTTGAAGTCAAGGACACCGGTCTCTAATCCTCTTGAAGTCAAATAGACGACCCATAACAAACAGGGGGTTTAATAGAGATTTAGCACATTAAGATAATGATCTTACTTAAACACAAAATGCAAATTTCAAATATTTTTGGGCTGCGGAGGCAGAGACAGGTTCTCGGCTTCAGATGCTATCGGGATGATAGATATCTTGGTTTGAAATACTTTCTCTGTCTATACATGAAATATTAATACCCAGGGGCTTTGGAAAAGGAATATGTTTTAGTCTGAAAGTTTTTGCTTCAAATAGAAATGTGTCTCAAAACCGAAAGGTCAACTAAAGGTGCAGTACACAGTTTTTTTTTTTGCTAGTTTTTACTGGTTGCAAATAAATGCCAGTTGTTGCCATTTAGAGTCAAGTGCCATGATTACTATCTCCACCTCCTTCTACGGTATCATTATCACAAATTGCCTCTTAGAAAAGCCTCATCTATATTCAACTTGTGACATTTAAACCTAATTGTAAAACTATATATGTGAAGGCTTCTTAAAGAATACCGATTACCTTGATAATCAAAAATTAGTTAACCTCACTTATTCATTCCTGCAGAACGCTGAAGACAGCTTTGACTAAAATGCTTTCTAAACACCTTTTTTCAGTGGTAAAATTTATCTCCTTTTTATCTACTCAGTTTTTGGGAATCACTCTTATTTGCTTCCTTTCATCTATGAGGCAATATTAGTTTAGCTTAGCTCGGCTTTTTCTGAACACAAAATGTGCTGAACTGTACCTGCAAAGCTAAGTAATGTCATAGACTTGTAAAATACTACCCACCCTGAGATTAAATACTGCCTTTTTTACAGTCCCTATAAATCAAACAGCCCTAAAATACTGATTCGTCGAGTTTCGTCCTTAAACGTGCAGGCACAGACTGAGCTGTGCGAACAAAACTGCAGATGATCTTTTCGCATGCTGCAGAAATAAGGGGTGGAAATTCAAACCATGATTATTAGCTTTCATGCTCATGCACAGTCTTACAGCGCAGAAACATCTGCATGATTAATGAGATGATTATATAACAGCAAAACTGGGACACAACTAATGCTGACTGTATGAGTAAATGAGGATGACAATAGAAAAGTCTTGATGTCATCAGAGGATGGAAATCTTTTTAGCTCATGCGTCCTTGACCAAAGTCATTTACAGAAAAAGCTCAGCGGTGACTAAATTTTAATGCATCTTAATTTAATAGAAAAATAGAATTACACTGATGGGCCTTGGCCAAACAAAAAGTCCCAGCGTGGCCAAAATCAGATGTAATCCACTGCTGCGGACATCTGCAGAACAATACCCCCCTAAAATTCTAAATTTTGCATGAGCTGTTTAAAAAGAAGAAAAGTGATCATCCTATTGTGGAATGAAAAAACAACAACAACTATAAACCCTAACCTGGGCTTTGTGAGATACATAACATGCATTTGCACTTTTTAGTGTATTTATGAGTGAAGGCAGCCCATCAAATCCATTTTCAGTGCTCTTTTTGATTCTTGGGAAATATGAACTGCTGAAGCAGATATTAGCAGCAGCTACTGAGCAGAAGTAAAGGTCACATCACCTCATTATAAAACAAAGTGCTGTGCATTCTGCATGAGTTGTTTACTTCTTCAAGACCTCTCCATTTTATGAGCAACTTAAAGTACACACAGTTGTCTGTGACTAGGATTGTAGCTAGAAGAGTTTAAATTGACAAAAATTAACTGAAAGGGCAGAAAGCAAATGTTTGGAGACTATATTCCCCGCCCTTCCATGTGCACACATGGGAAACCAGCAGAGCTGTAGCAAGAACCCCCCAGGTACAACAGCAGAACAAGCAGGTGTAAGTGTAGAGCAAGCATCAGTGACAACAGATATGACACTGATTAAGTCAGACAGCATGAAAATGCCAAGCCTGAGTGGAGCAGGGTTGCAAAGGGGCTTGCAGGTATGCAGCAACTTTAGGCAGGCAACACAAAAGGCTCATCTTATATGAGTGAGCTATGAGCAAAACAAATATAATGTACATTTCTATGTAAGTGTATGTATTATTACATGGATTGACTAGTATTTAAATTTAAACAATTATGTATTTAAATTTAACCCTATTTAGAGAGAAAAAGTAATAGGGGGATCTGGAGGTTGAATGCTAAACTAAAGTGGGTTAACGCTCAAATACTTCATCATGAGGTCCTTCCCCAGTTATCAAGGTATCGCCCCACAGATCCAATTACTCTGACATTGATCTGGAGATCCATCAAGCCCCCTGCATCCCAGGCTGTACAGACAGAAGATCAATCTAGCTGATCACGTATCTCAAGCCTTGTTGACAGGGAGATAGCAGGAAAGGGGGACCTTCAGATGTAAGATTAAAAGAGAGAAAATGGAAGTGAGAAGGAGACGTTAAGGTTAAAAGAATCTTGAGCCTCAATTAGAGAAGTGACAACTGAGGAAATGCAATCAAAACTGAATGAAATGGAGCTGAAAGGGAAAGCGAATATGGAAAAACTATCCAGCTCAGACATATTAGTTTCAGTGGCTTGGAATGAATGCTTTGCTGGCTTATCTGGCAGTTTTCTGTGTGTTCTTCTCACTCTGCGAATTTAAATATGTATTGGCAGAGAAGGACACAATCCAAATGACATCTCCCCTGTCACCTGTGAGCAAATTTCCTTTCACAGTGTGTCACTGGTGCTCTGACTCTGAGAAACACTTAACACTAGAGCGACCATGTTTACTGATTGTTCTGGGTTATTGATTAAGCGCAGCCAAGTGTGCCGCACAGCACTTACAGGGACAGTAATAGAAGTCAAGACTTGAGGGACCGAGGTGTACCTTGAAAAGAAAAAAATTGAACCAAGGAACTCGGAATACCTGGAAAAAATACCTGCATGATGTACATTACAGTGGCTCAAGTCTGACAAGTTTCTGCTTGGAATACAGAGGATCCCAGCGAAATTAGTATTGCACATTAATATAGGGAAGCAATTTGAAAACAAAACTCGGAAAAACGAATAGATTTGGGGGGCCTGGATATAGTTTACACTTGATATTACAACTTCCACAAGGCAGTTTAAAGGAGTCTTGGATGTCTTTCTTTCAAAATCATAACCTCAAATCTGGATTCACATTCAAAACACAGATTCTACTACTGCAGCTCTTTTTTGCTCATTTGTTTGTTTTCTTTTAGCAGAAAGGGAGTGCCGGGTTCTTAGCTAGTTAGCAGTAAGAAGCTGGGTGAGCAAGATCCCTCTACAGTGTTACTTGCTTCATACATTACACCTTGACACACCAAAACTGTAGCACATGTGCAGTGTGTTAATGCAGTTATTGTTTAGATAGCTCTGTTAAAATGGCGCAACAAAAGACCAGATCCACAAACACGGATTGAGAAGTGCACTTCACCTTAGCAGATGGTGAAGCCTAGCCAACAGCCAGCCCACTGACCACGCCCCTAATGATGCATCAGTAACTTCAAGCCCTAATAATTTAACAAGTTAGCTATGAAAACGTCCATCCCCAGTACAACTGTCATGAAACGGAAAATTAACTAGAGAGACAACAGAATATACGGCTGTAAACAGGTTTATTTTAGCTTTAAAGTTGGCCATGCTTTTATCAGCATCTATAGTTACTGACTCTCTTTGAAAGGCTTTAAATAAACAGCAGTTTATGGAAATGCATTTTTCAGCCCTCAAGGGTGCTTTTCTTACAGGCTGAATCTAAAATGGATCTAAAATTCAGTGGAGGGCCCTTTTACATAATTAATCCAGCACAAAAACGGTGAGGAGCCCCACAGGTAGGGGCCTTACCTGCCATCTTACCTTGTCGAAGCTCGATGGACTGAAGAATGTTGTTTAGATGGATGATAATGAAAATTAATGTTTGATGGCTCTTGATGATTATGTAATGTAGATGATATCTGAGCTCCTGATGAACAGCGTGATAAGAACACAGACACGAGAACATGAAAATGCACGCAGATAAACAGTCACTTTTTACAGTTCAGGACAAAGTCGGTTTAACTCGCTGCAATGAAATGTGCTTTTATTCTCCACAAATGTTAAGGCTTTTCACCATCCACTGAGAAATTATATAGCATTAGAAAATATACAAATTTTAAAGGAGTCATGCAAATACAAAACTTGCATTTTGTGACATTGTTTTTACATCGACTTTGACGGGTAATTGTGCATCCTTGCTAGAATAGTAAAGCAGCCTGCACCTGAAAACTGTTTAGTGTATTCTCAGAAAATCACAGGTTTTGGTGATGAAGACAATTGAGGATGTCAATGAAGTGATGACATGGCATTGATGATGATGGTTTATGATAATGGAGAAAAGGAAATATTTTTGACAGCCCATAAGCGCTAATAGGGATCAATACATCGAACGAACAAAAACATAAACGAACAAATTTAAAAAATTAAAACAAAATTAAAAAGTCAGACACCAGCTTTGACCACAAACCACCTGACCTTCTCTTCAGACAAAAAAAAAAAACGAAACACCACAAAAATGTCAGACCACAGGACGTACAATACACACAAGCCAAGCTACTGCACCTCCTGCCCTCCCCCTCCCTCTCCCAAACACAACACACCAACACTCAACCCGCCCCCTCCCAACCCCAACACAACCCTACCTGCTTATTTTTGAGGTCAAGCGAAAGCTCATAGTCAGAGGAGGCGGAGTGCGAGCCGGCCCCGTTGCGCTGCACCCTCAAGGGCGAGGCTGTGTGGTGCAGACTGGCTCTCCTCCCCGGGCCACCTCCTTTTGCTCCTCCCCCTTCCTCGTCCTCTTCCTCCTGTGCTGCTTCACCCTCGCGTGGCTTGGCCTGTGCCTCCTCTACCTCTTGCTTTGTCTTTGCCTCCACAACTTCTTCTGACTCTTGATTCTCTTTCTCTGCAACCGTCTGCTCCTCTCGGCAAGGCGAAGGGGCTTTAGGGGCTTCCTGTGGGGCCGCCTCGCTCAGAGCCTTGACTTGCGGCTGAGGCTCGGGCTCTGGTGCAGGCTGGGCTTTCGGCTCAGGTTCTGGCTGAGGTTTGACTTCGGGTTGGGGTTGGGGTTGAGGTTGAATCTGCGGTTGGGGCTCAGTCTGTGGTTGGGGCTGTGCTGGCTGAGTCTGTGGCTGAGTCTCTTGCTGCTGTTGTTGGGGCTGCGGTTGCAGTTCGGGTTGTGGCTGTGGCTGTGACTGGGCCTCACTCTGCAGCTCTCCTTCTCCTCCCTTCCCTTCCTGAACCATAGACGAGTCTGGAGAAAGGTCATCGCTGCAGAAAGGAGGAGAAAATGCAGAGTGAGGTGTCTGCTGCATCCGTGGTGAGCTCTGACCTCTTCTCCAGGCTGCCTGGGTTAGTGGTAAGATGTTGACCCTTTCTCTCTTTTTTCTTTTTTGTGCCTCATCACTCAACAGTTCATCTGTCTGCCTGCTCTGTTATGAATGCCTTTCTTGTCTGTCTAGACACTGACAGACAATGAAAACCAGGAAAACATAAAGCACAGAGCAGCTTATAAAACCACAGTGTACAAAAGTTTAAAAAAAAGAAAGAAAAAGATCAAGGCATTACTTCTTACAGCAAAATCTTTAGAAGAGAAAATGTGAAAAAAACAAGATAGTTAACAGCCAATAGTGACACACGCTCCCACACACACAGACGTAGGGGGGACAGTCATGCAGCCAAAACAAATGTCACTAAATGTGCGCCTGCTTGTGTGAATACTTGTATGTTGGAGTGTACTGGAGGTGTCGTTTTACACTTTAAAACAAAAAGAGGTGTAATAGGCATGTAATATACAGGAACAAATAATATATTTATATACTTTTTGTCCACATAGCAAATACTAGCTGTTTCTCTAATCATCTAATGTGTTTGAAGACATTTTGATCTAACTGACATCACCTTGAGAGCAGTTTTCAATGCTCCCCTGTCAGCTGATAGAAGAACATGACTAAGCAGTCATGTTAGTGGCTCAGTAAGGCTGCACTTAATCTGCCAGTATCTTTTATCAGGAGTGCTTGTCAGACGGTCAAGAAGCTTCTGAAACACCTTTCTGTCACACCCTGATAACCGGGGCATTGGGATGTTCAAATGGAAATGCAGACAAAAGTAAGCATGGTTTAAACTGCTCTCACTGCCAATTTTTCTTTCTTTCAGTTGGACTATTTCTGCCACTTTTAGACGTACAAAAAAGTGCCTTCAAGAAAAAAAAAGTGATATTGACCACAAACCCAGCTGTGTAGAGTGTAGCTGTTATATTTGCACACGTTTGCCTTTAAACACATGGGACTGACTAATCTTTGATGACATGTTGATGAAGTTTGAAAGACACAATGACGTTTCTGTTTCTGTTTCTGTTTATTATAAGAACAACATGTATCAGCAGATTTTCCTGAAAGACTTACTTTGACTTTGTGCCGGTTTTGCACACCAGCGAGTAACTGTGATAACAACTGGGCATGTTGTCCCCCCCCGTTACTGAATTTGGTGATAAGAATTGAATCACTGAGCATAAAATCACCACTTTTCATGCAGAACTTCAGAAGAAAGTCAACACGATTTTTCTTCGGAGGAAGACAAAGGGCTCTGCAACAATAAACTTTTAGTTTGTGTCTTAAGTTGTCTGTCTAAAAAAAGCCTTCATTAATAAAAGCATACTTATATACTGCATTTCTGCTAATGTAGAGAGTTAATAATTTTTAAAAAAAGGTTTGATGGCAACAAAAACCTTTCTGCCACCTTCTTCTGCACAAGAGGCCTGGGTCTTTTTTATATATATATATATATATATTTAGGGCAGCACATAAGCTTGAGAAAAAAGAATTCTGGGAATGGGTATAGCTAGGTCTGCTACTTCTAAAATAGAGCTTATATGAGCAATGAATAATGAAGAGGGAAAGTGTGCTCCTTCAACATTCAGCTGCAGGTGAGCTTTTTCTCATGCAGAAAATAGACCTGCCTGGAAAAAACAGAAGACTTCTTTTAGGGCAAGAGAGCCTGCCATGATCCCTGCTTACAACGTTTCCTTTCATTGTTATGAATCTAAATGTAGTCGTTCCGATTTGCATTTTGCTAGAGCCCCCGTTATGGTGAGAGATATTAAGACAACCAACAGGCGGCATGCAGCTGGATTAAAGTCAGATTCCGATAAAAGGAACAAAAAAAAGAAGGAACAGGTGATCAAAGGGAATTATTTTTGAAGAGACACAAATAACCATGAAAAACGAACGCAGTCACTGAAAACATATCGTGTATGGATGTGTATGCATTTATAAAGCGAATATAAGCTCAAGAGTTAGTTCAGTCTCATTTGGGTTTTCACATTCCTTCAGATGGACTGACATTCCCTCTGCATATCAACTTTTTCTATCCTTTTTATCTTTCTTGTCATCCTCTCTTTCCAACCATGCCTCTCGCACGCACGCATCCAAACAGATGCACATATGGTATGTACACACACACATATATATATATGCAGTTTTCCTGCTGCTCTGTCTTTCCCAGGTAAGGGGATTGAGCTGTTCTGTGTATCAAAGTGACTGACAAGGCAAGGACAAGGTCTGGATGCTTCCTCTCATTTCCCAGTTTTTCCATATGTCAGTTCTGAAGATGGATGAGCGCAGTGGCCTCCATGCTTTTCATCCAGAATATAATTATAGTGTCCACTGACATCTCCTGCTCTCACTGTCGTGATTGTGAACAGGCCGGTACAGTGGTGTGACGCGAGTTTGGGGCCGTCTGCTAATGCTGCATGCTGGGCTACAACCGTTAATATCAGGCTCATAGAAAGGGAATCTCCACTTGTGTAAAATAAAAAGACAATCCATGCACCTTAAACAATCTGAATGAAATTCAGTACAGTTTTATAACATTTAGAAGGTAAAAGAATACTATACAATTTACAGGCGTTAAATTGAATCGGGATGCATGAGAGAGTAGTTTTTCTTTGACTTGCTTTGCAGTATTACAAAGTCTGGAAACATCTCTATGAATATATGCATGTCTTTATATTTAAGGACAGGCCCTTTGTTTCTGTACTGCATGAAGTAATAGTACAGAAGTCAGCAAAATGTACTTACTGCATCAAAGGAAAATAAGATATTCTACCGAGAGCTTGGTGACTGATATATTATCCTACTTTACACTCTCTTACAGAATGTAAAGTACCATATTGTTCCTTCAGAGGTACAATGGCTTGTCACTAGGGCTGTATCCCCCTAAGGTACTCCTTTTCTACCCTTGACAGGCTGTTTGTATCTCACAGAAACTGATCAGCTCCAGTGTCAATTTTGCACCTTAATGCTACAGCACAAAAATGAACCTGGATACAGGAGTGTGCATTCTATTTTTCTTTTGTATATATCATTATTTAATCAATACTCATTCCGATTCTTGGAAATGAACTCACAGCTGTATAGCACTTTCCTTGTCTTATACAGCACTCAAAGCTTTATCACATGTGCAACTACAGTCAACTTAAACTATTTAGCATAACATGGATGTCATTGGACAGAGCACATGGATAAACGTCACTTGGCACAGGGAAAACACTAACTTCT